GAACTTGATATCTCATTTCACCTAATATGACAAGTTTGTGCAATCTCTTAAAAAATTTAAGTTGTTGTAAATTGTTACATATGATTGTAAAGTTAGAAAAATATCCAATCATAACTTTGTACAAAATAGAGTAAGAATTCAGGCATATAAATATTCTTTAGAGAAATAACATTCATTGATCTAAGCATCATGACATTATGGTATCTCTATTATGCCATTAGAAAATAATCTATATAGATATCTACAGCATTCATATTAGTAATCACACTGACACGTGAGATTTTCTGACTTATAATGGGCTCGTTTTTTTTACAAGATGTAGCTAATACACCTTCCGAATGTTTGAACAAAGATTTGAAAACATGCCTTAACAACTACAGTACAACTATAGGACAAAAAATGAATAAATTGATAGATATTTTTAATAGTTTGTTAAAATTGTTAATGCATCAAAATTATTTGCATCAAGCATGCATGAAAATAATTCATCGTAAATTTTATGTAAAATATTCATGTGATTGAGATGTTCCTTATAACGTTTCAGTAACATTACTCATACATGTTATAAAGACTTTTGCGTAAAAATCATAAACTAAACATATGCATTAAGCATGCAAATCTATCAATTAGCTAATTATATATAAAAAATCCCGAATATATATATATATATATATATATATATATCCACATAAAAATAATTATAGAAATACATTTATACCTCTCATGTCATACATCTATGAGATTTTATAATCAATGATGTTATCAAATCGTTTCATCATATTAAAATAAAATTTTTTTAATGTAGAAAAAATATAACTCATGAAATTACATAAGCGAAATCATATCATATATATGAAGAAATTTTTTATTAAAGTTCAATTTCGTAAACACTAGTGAGCTAAAATGATTTACATGTAGTATAGGTTTGTTCAATGATATGTCTATATAACATACAATGAGTTTAACATATATTTGATGCTTCTTCTGTACTAATTTAGTTTTTTTTTGAATTTTTTTAACAAAGAATTTTTTTGCTCCAAAGAATTAAAATTTTCTATATTCTTAAACCACATTTTTTTAGCTTCAGAATAAGACTCAATAAATTAAAGGCGTACTCAACGATATTTAAGGATATTTTTTTTCATTTTGAAATGATAAAAACGAGAACCACACTCGACACGTTTGAAAAGACAAGAGTATTATAGTTAATGTCATCAATTTTGTAGCATATGCTTTGGGTACTCAAATTTTTTTGAAAACTCCGTATGACAAACAAGAGCATTAGCCTTTCCATCCTAAGTGAAGAATATGCCAGACAGTTTATCCTTCAAGTGGAAGTAATCGTGAAGCACCCAAAACATATATAAAAGAGCAAATTTTTAATGGAAAAAGCTTAATATTTGTTTGTCACACACCTAATAGTCATTAAAACTCACCTGTTTTGCTGACTATTAGATTCTTAAAGATATACACAAATAAACACACGAATAAATAAATAGATATATTATATAGATATATAATTTTGTAACAAAATTGAAATGAAACAAAGAGAGATATTTAAAAGCATGAAGTAATAAAGAACCCATACCATATCTTTCAAGTGAGAAAAATCACCCAAAACCTCAAATCAACAGAACTCTGCACATTTTACTCTGAAAACAATGAAATCAAGATTAATACCTATTCTTGGTTTACGAACGTATTGTACCTCCTTCATCCCGGTCACTCCATTCATATCGAAGAAAGTGACATACAAAAACCGGATGATGATTGAATGATGGAATGACTAGAGATAATTGAAAAAGAGTGATCTTCTAAGTGGTGGGCAATAATTTCGCATTCAAAAGTGCGCAATACTTGACTTCTCAGATTTGCCGGGAGTCAAGTTTGAAAATAACAGATTCACGATGCACATGCTAATATCCTCCTTCTCGCATACATAAGTTGAAATCCAATCCAATCCGGAAACGTGGAAGAAGAGCAATGGCCGCAGCTGCAGCCGGAGAGTGGGTCAATTCTTTGGCTAGAAACTGAAGTCCGACACTGAAGATATAACTGAGCGGAACAGCTGAAATTTCGACGTATGCGTTCTAGCGCCTTAATAGAAAGGCACATACTTTGTACTCCTCCAAACACTTCTCGCGTTCGTGTTCATCGAGCATGGAAGTGGGTTGGGCATCATGCAGTTCCAGCAGGATAATGCATTCCAATGCGGCAATGTAAACTATTTCATGCAAACAAGATACTCGTCTACTGTTCTAGAAAATCACCACCGACCGGACGCCCCAATTCAGTGCCATGCCTCCGGGTATGAGGGAGTAAATTTAGTATACTGGCGCACGAGGAAGTAGAATTCTGCACAAAACTAACATCAAGTACGGTAATCTGTTTTAGCATAGACTCAAAATACAGTATGCAACATGCCTAGCTTACCAGATGTTGCTAACTGGATATAGATAGTGAGTAATGCTTAACACGCTGTGAGTACGTACTACCTCTGAATGAAGAATAAATAGTGATAGGTAGGTATATCGTTTTTTGTTTGATAGGTACTCAATATATCTGCAACATTTTTAATTTCTTCTTGCCACACATTATTCAAATTCGTACGTTACTGTTTATACGCTTCAAGCACCACATGTTCAACTGAGATCAGATTTTTGGGCTAGATATGTATCTTATTTTATCTTATGCGTTGCACATAACATATGGTTAGAGAAGCTACTTGTTTCCTTGAGAGGCAAATTCCGTACAGAATATGCATTCCATGTAGCTATACGAACGTTTACTAAGAATCACTTACTGGAGCAAAACCCTCATATGACACCACTGGGAATCATCAAATGATTATTTCGGAAAGAAAACTTTACAAAATGAACGTCACTGAGTAGATTGAAGATGTCACGAGTAAACTTGGATCGCCATCATTTGATAATTTAAAGAAAACAAGGAAACCAGACCATGAGAGAGGATGGTACCAAATTTGTGGCTATGAACATATTCTTGGTATAGTACCATATTTCAATTATTTATTTTAATGCTCATTATAGATCGAAGATGCTAAGTATTTGAATATCAACATTAAATTCACTTCCAGACTCCGAAGCGCTTGATACATTAATTTTATCATCTGTGCGAAATATTACCTTTGCATTTTGAATGATGGATGTTTTAGTAAAACTATAAGACTTTAGTATTTTGTGATACATAGTATAAACACCATATCTATTTCTCTCTAAGTGCAACTTTTGTTCCATGTCGTTCATCCTTGAAAAGATATCAAGGTGTTGCACCGAGAGAAAGTGGACCGCAGTGAATTAAACAAGAAGTTACGATCCGAAACTTAGAACGTCGTAATACAGCTTTTCCTGGAAATAGTAAAACCATAAAGTTAGCGTTACAGTACTATTGAACTCGTTGCTTGGGACTGTGAGCGTAACCGAGTAAAGTATCAACGCTAACCTACAGTTGATCTCCATAACTTGGTATGTGACATCGTAATGTTCTACCAGGCTGTCCTGAAACGTCATCTTCCGTCAATTTCTTTCCAGATGATAGAATTGTCTATCAACGTGTTCCAATACCAGGTTGTTGCATGATAGTATCCAAAGATCTACAGCACTTTTCGCATTGATGCAACGAGGTAGTATTTACTCCTGATTCCTGGTGCGCCGTGGCTATCGACGTGTCAAGTCGTCTTTAGTTTGAGAGCCTCCAACTCAAGGGAGCTCTATCCCACTGTCGAACGTGAAGTTATGGGCTCTGTTTATTGAATCTTCACCGCCGTGCACCGTGGATTGCGAGATTCCAGGTTGGCAATGAGGTTTCCTCCAGAGAGGTCTGTCATCGTAGCTAGCAGACACCTTAAAAGGTGTACGTGGGACACTCATATCTTGCTGGAAAACATACTTTTAGTGTGAAACCCTCAAAATCGGGCTCAGACATGAAATCTGTAACTCCGACTCAGGTTCGTACAGTCTCTGACGAGAGTTGGAGCTTGCATGTATCAAATGTAGCAAACCCACACTGAAGGCTCAGATTTTGGGATCATACAATTGCGTGGAACGGAATGCTAACTCCTAACTTATATTCACTTTGAAAGCATGAAGCTAACAAACCTGGATCTCTGTCATGCCATGTTAATAAGGTCAAGATCAAGCTCATGTGGTAAATATAAAAACCAGGAAATGATACTGACTATAACAGCATTCTTCGATTGATCATATACTGTACATACTGTAGATCAGAATAAAATATTTAGACGTTGGCTTCTCTTTGGTATCGAGGTCGTAGCCAGCGCACGAGTACGACTACGAACCTTTGCTACCTAATAAGGTCAAGTTCGGCTCCTCATGTCCAGAAATAAATTAGATTAGAGAGTAATTTATCATTGCTCCTGATCTCAATGAAACACAGCTACTTTCCAAGTTCGTGCGCAGTTCGTTCGAAGCTCTAGTTTTCTTAGTCATGCATGTGCAGTTGTGCAGTTGTCCTCTCAAGGGATGGAAACGGACTAAGTAGTAGTAATCAAGCATGATGCCAGGAATGATGAGTAGGATTTCCTTGTCTTCTGCTGGCAAAAGCCGTTCATGGGCTTCCTGATATACTTTTGTTTATTTTCACTCCATCTTGCGAATATGGATGAGAACTGTTTTGAAGCACGCGAGCCACATCAACGACAGGCTGTGAGGTGGCAGAGCCACGGACCAATAAACTTGGAAGTTCTCGGTAAGACCCATGACGAAGAACATGGTTGAGCACTGAACATGTACAAGAAGGAAGTCTGGCACGGGTACGGGAGAAACGAACTGAAATACAGTGCTTGACATCTCTTCCAGCACGGAATTTTAGAGTGGCTAATTAAAATCCTTTCGAAAGTCTAAGCTTGAATTCGAGAAACATATAGTGAGAGAGGGCGAGGCGGCCTGCCAAGCTAAGTGGCCCTCGTACCGTGAAAATAGGTCCAGAGTCTGATTTGATCAATCTCACTGTACTTGCTGTCAATGTCTGCGTCTATTCAATGACAGAATAAAGTCTTATATACTTTAACAGAATATGATGTGGAAGGAAAGGAAAGTGTTTCACTCTTTCATCTAGTTACTCGAGACTGTCAATCTCGAGCTCTGCATGTGTGCTGCAGCGACAGGTTGCAGTCGAAATCAGGCAGTCAGTCAGTAGGTGGTAGTCGATTTCTTCATCCCTCGTCCTGTCTCCAACTTCTTCGATTTTCCCACAATAGTCATACATCTCGACGCATGTCTTTGAGATTCATCGATGTATGTTGGTGAACCGATAGTTTGAGCTATCAAAATGACGAGCACGGGCCCGGCTACTGGCGAATCAGCCAAGGATGTAGGTTCGTTCATGCCAGAGCCAAGAGTCGTGGCGCGAGCGGCTCTTTGCGCCAAAGCGAGCTATGCTAGGGACGCGGCCAGATGTTTCAATGGATTCGAGCACTTGAAATTCATAAACGTCATCACAACACCTACTCATGAGAAAGAGCCATCAAGATCACGAAAAGGCATGATCAGGGCCGTGAAAAGGAAGATGGGAGTCCACAGTGACTTCAAGTCGCAACGATTGTTGGTCGCCTCAGCTCAAGCCGAAGATCCCAGCGAGGTCGAGGTGTACGTGGCCTTCAGGGGGACTGCGGGCTGGGTGGACATTTTCGATGATGCAGATTTCTCGCAGACCAGTCTCGTGGGATTCGGAGACTCTTTCGAGGGGGCCGTGAAAGGCAAGTTCCACAATGGCTTCACCAAACGACTGCTGAATTTCCTGCCAGACGTGAATGACATTTACGCGTACGTGACCTCGAACGCGTTGGCCGACGGCAAGAAGATTGGACGCCTCGTCTTCTGCGGTCACAGTTTGGGAGGAGCCATCTCGCACCTGGCAATGCTGGCTCTCTTCATGACGAGATTGGGACCTGAGAACGTGCCATCAAGTAGATACATGTCCATTGCATTCGGGGCTCCGCACATCGGCGACCACCTAGCGGCGGAGTTTTTCAAGCGCGACTTTCCTGTCAGTCGCGTTCTCTTCACCTTCGTCCATGAGGAGGACCCCGTGCCCTTTCTGCTGAACAACTTCCCTACTACGATCAAAGCGGGTGCTCAAGCCGCTGCGCAATGGCAGCCATTAAACATGGGTGCGCCTGAATCTACCGTAAGTCCGGACATTGGTGGGGTCAAAATACGATTTCAATTGCAATAGCCAGTTTGGACTGGGGTTGCAAACGATTTGATGCTGCCGAAATCATTCTGATTCCGCTGAGTTCTTTCTTTCTCTGTGCATGCCGTCGGCGAAATCAGTACTACATGTACTCGCGCTCGGATCCGCCGGACGGTCTCAAAGAAATTCTCACAGATTCCGCACAGAAATTCTCACAGATTCCGCTCGTAGAATTGCCCGAGCTTTGAACGCTTCCTTCCGGAGATGGTTTAATCTGTTCATACGTCCCCTTGCTTTTCTTGTGCATGCGCATGCCGTGACTGCAGGGTAGTGTGCTTGCCGTCTGCTCACTGCAAATCGTGTAATCAAATGAGGATGATGATGGCAATTCGATTGACTCTCAGCTGATCGAGATGTTGTGTGGGATCGACCAGATGTGCAAGTTGACGTCGGAGCTGATGGAGCTGGGAACCATCACCGCGATGGACGAAGCCGACGATGACATCGTCACCACCAACGTTTCATGTCTGGGTGGGGCTGTGGCCAAGTCCACGCCTGCAGTTGTGAATTCGACGGCCAACGTGTACCGCATGATCATGGATGCCAAGGCGTCCCTCACAGAAAAGCACGTCAAGTACGCCCCCATCGGCCAGTATTTGCGGCTCACAGGCAGATCCGCCTCTCTGGATGAAAGCCTGGCCGCCAGTCTGCTGTCCGAGGACGAAATCTCTAAAATCAGTGAGAAGCTGGCCCTCGACAGCAACCGAATCAAGGTAAGCTTTCGAAGAAATGGTCCGGCAATGTGCACATGGCTCACTGCAAGAAGATTATTTTCGAGCAAGATCGTGAGAGTGTAGCTCGGCGAGCTTACAGAAGTCTGAAATCTGAAATCCGCACTTGTGACCGATGTACAGGCTCACTACATGGGTGGGTACATGATTCACCTGTGCCCGAGATCGGATAATCTTCCGAAATCAAAATCGCTGCCAAATCTGACGGTGGTGTCGGAGAGCTCCCTGGAACCGGTGATCAAGAGTGCCTATCTTGTAATTCAAGGCTCGGATTCAGCTGAAATCAGGGTCACCGGCAAGAATCTGAGCCTGATTATGAGAGGTGGGTGGAGGCTGAAGACGGACGAACCCACGTACTCATTCTCCAGGTTGCTGTCCGATTTTCTAAAATTCGACGACTCGAACCTTCAAGCCGAAAAGGTCCTTCCCAGCGAAGATTCGGCAAATATGGCTGGTACGCAGGAGTACCTTCTCAAAGTGAGGGTGCAGCTGCCGGAAGAAGTGAAGGATGCTGCTCTGTACAAGCTCTCCGTCAATCGGAGCAAAAAGATTGTTGCCGTGGGTCTAAAGTTGTCGGTCCGGACAAGCTTCGGGAAATCCGTGCACTGCAACGTCCTGCTGGACTCCAAGAGCTTTCTTCTGGAGCCGCATTCACCTCTCTTGAGCTCCTTGAGAAAAGCCATGGAAAAGTTGCTTGTTATCACGGACGCCTTCTCGAACTCCGATGCCACCACGAGAAAGATCTATGACTCGATTCTTCTAGGAGTGAAGTATGGGCTGCCGGATCATTTCAGCACCTTGGAGAGCATACTGCTGAGTGACAAACCCATGCATAAGAAACGGAAAGATCTCTTCACAGATTTCTTCATTCCAGTTGACAAACTTCTCTGCGAAGCTTTGATCAAAGTTCGTAAGAACGGTCATCTGACGCGTTTCAAGAAATCGGTGGCAGGCTATTACCGGGTGATTGATTTCCTGGCCAACTTTTGTAGGGAACCATCCAAGTTTCCCGAAGAGATACTAAGCTTCAAGGCGTTGTGGCCAGGTACGTACTCTAGTACATGATTATCAACCGAATACTCCAGACTCTGACAATGACCATGCCTAGTTTCGACATGTCCATGAACATATGCATCAAGATGTGGACATCAGTCGTTTAAAACTGATCACATGCTGTTCATCATGCGAATTGGCAGGGTGGATTCCCAACCGCTAGATTCTTAGCTGGCTGATCATGACTTTTGCTCTATCATGGTCTCAATCTCAGGTCTTTTGAAGGAAGATACACAACGAGAAACTTACGAAAGTTTGGAGGACAAAATTGTCAATTACATGCCTACCGGATTAGCAGATGAACTGAAGGCGGGATGCGAGGGTTCAACTTCTTTTGAGTCAAGTCTATCGGTCAAAGAGAGCGTGTTTGCGGAAAAGACATCAAATGATATTCTACGATGGTTGAAATTGCTCTTTGGGCTTCGGCTGGTTCAACAAGCCGTAGAGAAGGTGCAGATGGTAGCGCTCGTGGGGCCCGACGAGCTGCCGGAGGATGCTTTGAATTATATTTTCGGAGTCGACGAGTCTGTTGCACTCCAGCATAGAAAGAATGTTCACTTTGTCGAGGATGGGAGCACCAAACTATTTGTTGTTCACATCTCTCATATGAATCTACCCGGAGCCACCAGATCAGCTCATAAGAAGAAGCAGGTCTCTTTCGTTAAAAGTTTTGACATGTGTATCGTGCTGGTTAGAAGCAATGGAGAGGAAGCTGAGATACGAGAGACATTTTCAAATGAGTTTATGCTCAACTACAAAAAGAGGTGTACAAGTGCGCTGATAGATAAGGGACATAATGACAGAGTTAGATTCTGTCATATGGAGGATCTGGATGATCCCTTAAAAATTGCTGCCCTGAACCGGTGCGGAATTCTCAGCAAGCACGAGATTTTTGCCAAAATTAAGACTTCGTTAAAGCTGAGCGGCCCATCAAAGAGTACCTTGGTTGAAGAAAGGGCCTTCGCCTTCCCAGGTAAGAATCTGTACCTCATCTCCAGATTTTGTGCATTTCGTTCTGTAGCTGAGCAGCTAGGTATACAAAACTCATCACTCTCTGCGTGTTCATTTACTGCGAGGTACAATCTGTGCATCTTAAAAAGATCTTTATCTACCTCAGAGACATCATAAGAAGAGACTCCTGCCACTGGTTTGCTTCAATGAAGCTAATGCCAATGTGATGTGATTCGTGTGGATGGTAAAACAGAGTTCCTACATGCAGGCCGTTCTGAACCAAAGAAGTCAATCTCCAAAAGTGGAGATTCTACGAGCTCAAAGCACGGATTGCTCTCAGGTTAGATTGCCTTCGCTTGCCTAGGTTTTGCGTAACTGCTGTTAAAGTAGAGGATTATGAGTAGCTCATGAAGCTCAATTCGCTTGAGTGTCTGTTTTGACAATGCAGCAACATAGAACTAACCACCATTTTTGAAAATATGTCCGTATGTGAATGCAGGTCTCCCTGCAGCTGAGCACTCCTTGACGAGATGACCATCCTGCCCGGGAGTTCTACCTGTTGCTCTGTAACCTCATTGCTTATACATATTGTAAATAAAAATTGAATATGCTGTGCTCCATTTTGGAATTGGAAGCAGTGTATGAGCTGAATGTTTCAGTTAGCTGGAATGAAGTATTTGTATGAGGAACTATAACTGCCATGATAAACTACACCAACTGAATGACTATAAGAGAACGGAATACTGAACGACGATTTCGGCTTTGCTTGTCTTGCACTGACCTTGTCATGAAGTTTATTACAAAAATATATGTATCGTAACTGGTTACTACCTACTTGTTTTAACCCTCATTGGAAGTGTTAGCTTTTCCTTCCGGTCTTTCAAACGGCACGATGTAAGTTATTCAGATACTTAAATCTGTACCGTTATGTAGACGAGTGATGAAAACCAGCATCCAAAACTGCTCCATGTACTTCAGTATCGAGAGACAAGTTGTTCATTGTGATACTGCCATAGACTATCTTAAGTGTCAATTCTTACAATGAAAGGAAGGACGTACTAAGTTAAGTGTGACAGGTGAGCTAAATTGTCATGATTAAATGTTTATTTTGGAGTCATTTGGATTTCTTATAAAGTAGACTGTTGAAAACTAATGTATGCAAGATCCTCAACAAAATATGTCGGATAAATTGTTGAATTTCCTTGAAAGCATGTTGCGATTTAGTGAGGGATAGACGCATAAATTTGATAGAACTCAAAAAAAATAAGAGCTAAAAGATACACGAAAGAAGTTTAAGTTACTCATGATAATATAACTTGCCTGGTTAAAAAGTATTGGAAATATATCGAATAATGAAATATAACCAAAGAACGATATCTTTACAAAGATGAATCACAAAAACTTGGAATCTCCTTTAATCCTATATAGTTACGAGTCTCTTAAACCCTTTCCAAAAAATGATCAAACATACCATAAACCAAACCTCATCAGACCACCTTCGGCGCTTGAACTCTTCATACTTCTCATCAAATTTATTTTGATTATTGAAGTGATCATTTTTACTTGCAAAACGTACACAATGACACTTTTCTATATCAAGAGCATAATTTTTAAAAGATATTTTCAATCAAAGGAATATCACAATATCACTCAAAGATTATTTCTCAAAGTCTCATCTTCAGAAAGAATATTACTTTGAAGTCCACAAGTCGATTTCCAAGTCTTTAGCAAAATATGGACCCCATAGTTAATTCGGTTGCAAATAAATTTAACGGCGCAATTTTCTGTAGCTCATGTACATGCTCTTGCATATCCTATGGCATGCCTCTTATTATGAACGTCAAGTCCAAATATCCTTAGGGTTTCCGTTGAATATAAAATTGCATTAATTTTCGATCTCATCATGTTACAGCAGTAGCTGTAGTTTTCATAGATTACAGCTTCAATGAAGTTTCTCGGCATTGTATATTTTTCTCGATGAGACCGTTTGAAGTGAAAGAAGTATCAATGGATGTTTGCAATCATACGATTTGGATGGATCTTTATTGGACACCAGTGTCAACGATTGGGGAGGTAAAATTTGTATAGGCGGTTCCTAGGTAAGCGCGGAAGTATGTAGGACCAAAGAGAAACTTTTTAATGAAGATTATTTGTAATTTTTGACCTTACTATTTAGGTATCAAATATGATCCTCAATAGCGTTTGATTCTAAAAGATAGTTTATGTCTTACAGAGAGAATGTTCCTTTCAGCCCCTAGCACACGTTGTAAGGTGTAAGTTGTATACGATTCATATCTGATTCATAACCAATTCGACGTAGGATCTCCGATTGCGGGGATCAGCATACTTCGCCGCCTTGCGATCAAGGTACCGCAGTAGCGGTACCACCTGCTCGCACAACACTCTCGTCGGCGTACCCTGCACCAACTCCACTTCATGACCCTCCGAACTCGACTCGTCCTCTGAGTCGAGGATCTCTGTCGCCACAGAAATCCACGATGATTCCCTGGAACTGAGTCGCGTAGCTTCTTCTGCCGCGATTGCCGCTCCACTCCCTGCCAACATCTCCAACGCGGTGGGAGATCTGGCTTCCGGCGGGCCCGCTTCTCCTGCCCGATCTGCTATCGCCAAAGGCGTCTACCGCCGAAGGCGGCTTTGCCGAAGGCACACGTGTCTCCTCCTTCCGGCCTTCGTCCTTGGCCGATTCCTCAAGTTGGGCTTGCGCCGAAGGCGTCTGACCCGAAGTCCTCTAAGCCAAAGGCTCCTCCCTACACTTCTCCTGCAACGAATGCGCTTGAGCCGAAGGCTCATGACCCGAAGTCGAGTCGTATAAAGGTACTTGCTCAGAGGCCAAGCACCTGTCAGTCGCTAGCACACTTGCCGCATGCCGTCTTCCTTGGCCCGAAGGCCTTCTTGCCTCCTCCGAAGGCGTCCGTGCCTTCGGTGCAAGGAGGTCCGCTGTCCTCCCGCTAACTCTTGCACTCGCATCCTCCCCCGAGGATGGCGAGTTTCTCCTCTCCGCGGCTCGTCCTGTGTCCGCGCTACTTGCCGGCAGAACAAGCTTACGAGCTTTCTGCTTCGGTCGACCGGAGGGCTCATGGGTCGCCTGACTCCGGGCGGGAGCAGCAGACACTTCTCGCTGACTCTGCTCCGCCTCTCCATCGCATTTCCGCTTCCGCCGCACTCGTACTGCTCGCAGTTCTTCTTCTGCTCGCGGTCGAGCTAGTGGTGTGCACGCGAGCGTCTTGTCTATGTCAGTGTCGACCTCGACATCCTTCTCGTATGTAATAACCCACCAAAGGCTAAAACTGCAATATAGTGGTAGAAAGGTCGAACCCACAGGGAGAGAGGCAACACACATGGTACAAAGTGTCACATTTAACAGACTATTGAGGAGTTTGAATTCTCAGGCGACTCTCACTCCCAGAAATACTGCAAGTGTTCACTCGGAGCTCACTCGGAGGTCGCACAGTGCAGCGTAGTTCACTGAACACACACACACACACACACACACACACACACCTGAAACTACATAAACACAACCCTGATATCGATTAGGACCTCCACTTAAGATTTCAAGGGGAAAGTCTCTCGCAAGTACACTCAGCGAATCTGCGGGTTGTGACTCCCAACTCCGGCTTTTACAACCCTTCCACTAGTTTTCTGCTAGCGTAGGGAACCCGGGTTGGACTTCCTACTTCGGATCAAAGTCACTCACACGCGGTGAACAACACGCTCAACTCACAAAACCCGCAGAGAACACAGCTCCGCACGGAGGGACTCAACTGAGAAACGATCCAGTAGCACACCATAACAGTTTATTGAGGAGTTTGAATTCTTAGGCACTTGTCATTCCCAAAAATACTACAGGGGTTACCCTGAAGGCACCTGCTGTAGCGTAACCTGAATTTACAACCAAGGCTTACACGAAGTAGCAAAACTTCACTTTGGCATTCAAGGGAAAAATCCCGAAGGTGTACAATCAGGAACAATCACTCGAAAGTGTAAGGGGGAACTGTTCAAGTATCTAACTTGTAACTAACTCTAAGCATCGGCAATCACCCGCAGGTGTAGATCCAAACTACTCAAGTCTCTAACCAGTGTACTAGCTCTGAACATTCGGCCGAAGGCCTTTAGCTACAAAATGCGGAACGCCAAGTTGTAGCTCGTCTTGCGCGGTGACAGAACTAAGGACACAAACACGCAGAGAAAATGAGTTCTTGATCTGCACTTCCGAAACTGGAAGAATCCCAAGGCAAGTCGCCTTAAACTACTTTTTACCTTCTAAGTCCTAACTAACACTACACTGCACTACGCTACGCGCCTGCACGGAACCACGCTACACTACACTCCGCAGAACCTGTGCTTCGCCTTCTGCGCGACGGACTGCCGCGCACTAACTCTCTACCCTGCCAGTCTTCCGCTCGACTGCGCAGTCCCAACCGCCGCAACACCGCAGAGAACTCCGTTTCGAGAGTGGCCATGGTGTCCCGCGACTTCGACAAAAACGAGTCCAACATCTTCGCCACTCGCCGCCGGCTCCGACTGTGGTACCCCACTTTTGGTATATTTGAGTAAATTAAAACATTTTTGGAAAACTGTACCGCGGCAGTAGTGTAAATAGCCTTCGGTGCATCAAAACAGAGTGAATTCGGAAGATCGCAGAGATTCTCACGGGAACTCGTAGGATTTAGGAGTAGGGTGCAACGTCAGGGACGGGCACCACCCTCCCTGCGAGCTCTGAAGGTATGATCCCTTTGGCGCAAGGCGCAAAATCCGCCTTCGGCGCTGCGCCTTTGGCGCTAGAGGAATCCTTCAGAATTGGGTCAATCCCCAAACGCCTTGACTTGGTTAGGGTCTTGTTGGAAAGAACTTGACGCGCTGATTCCAACGAGCCCAAGAACGCCACAAACGGATGAGGACTCCGGGAGTTATAAAGGTCGCAAGATACTCAGCTTTCCACCTGCGCACAGGCGAAGAAAGTTTTGTCCTATGCGCGGACGAAGGCAGGGTTTTGACGTAGGCGCGAATGTCGCCTACGCACAGGCGAGGAAACCTCTGCCAGGCGGACGAGCGAAGTTCGCCTACGCACAGGCGGTCGCCTGCGCACAGGCGCTGAGGCGTCGGCGGGAAATCCGCCTTCGACCCTAGAAATGCGCCTTCGGAGGTAGAAATTGTACGGCGCCTTCCGCGCCAGCGCAACAGCGCGGACGGGCGAGGAACCGCCGGAGTAGTAAAATCCGTACGGACCGTACGGACTGTACGGACGGGACGGATGGATGCGCTCTTGGTCGGACGGTGTTGCGGCGGCGAGAGCGCCGACGGAGAGACAAGAGACGGACAGTCTGGACGGAGTCTGTTGACCGCGGTCAACGCCTTCCGAGCCAGCGCAGCAGCGCGGACGAAATTCGCCTACGCGCACGCGAGCGCCTACGCACAGGCGGGTGAAGTTCCGCGTCGGCGGAGATTCCGCCGGGGATTCCGCTTGCGCACAGGCGGGAGTTTAACTTTTGTCCGATGCGCGGACGATCGCCTTAGGCGGAGGAGGATTGGCCAAGGAGCGGTACGAACGAGTGTACCGCGCAAGGCGGAAAAGCCGCCTTCGGCGCTGCGCACCCATGTCCGCGGCGTAGTACGCTCGCGGAGTTCAAATTCGCCAATTCGAGCGTGTGGGTTAAATCAGCGTCGGCGGAGCGTGAAGCCGCGCGTGAGAGCGGAGACCGTTTTAGCGTAGCGCCGGCGCGGCCATCAAGTGATTCAACCCTCACGATCAAGAGCCGACCATGACCTTCGACCGGGAGACGGAGAACGCCCCATTCTTGAATTCGCGATTCCATTTTCTAGTGCGAGCTGCGCGCGTCCATCTGCTAGCTGCGCGCGTCCATCTGCTAGCTGCTAAGCATTCCAGACATCGCCGCGCAGAGGATTAATTGTTGATTGAGAGAGAATTGAGTGCGTGCGATTTGGAATTGAGTGAGATTAGAGTTTGCCGAGGAATCAAGGAGCTCGAGTGGAGCAGAGAGAGAATTAGCGAGCAAGCCAATTCCAAGAACGCAATGTCGAGACTGAACCGATTGCGGATGCTGCCGCTCCGGCTTCCACAGAACGGGTTGCGTGCCTACGAGGAACGACTGATTGCAAGAAAGCTTGAT